TGGCAATTCTGCAAAGTCTATTGGTCTATTGGCCTGTGGCCAGGTGAAACAAGGACCTTTTGTCAAGGAACAATTGGCCAAAGCACATCTGACCAAAGCAGCACACCTTTTGCCAAGGTTTTGCCCAGGTGACCCTTTTGTCAAAGGTCACTTAATCTTGGTTGTAAACTTCATCACCAAAATTTGGTCTGGTCAGTTTCAAATAGAGAAGCACCCTGTATTTGGGTATGATTTTTTTGGAGAGGCTGGTGCTTTTCACACCACTGGAAACAGAATGGCCTAGCTTTGCCAACCTTCCCACAAAGTCTTCTGATTTCCAATTGCAAGCGAACCTTGGGTTCATGACCTGTCCATTCTTGATGAGATGCTTCAGTGTGTGAAACTTCATCACAATATGAAATAGGTTTTTGCCTTTTGCCAAGGCCCATTTGTTGAGGTATGAATAGGCCTTGAAGAACCTTTTGCCAAGGCTCATGCTTTTGGCAAATTCTTTGCAGCTCAGAAACATTGGTGCTTTGTCATAGAAGTCAACCAATTTGCACAAAGATTCCAAAGCTTCAATCATTTGCTTGTGCTCCTCGTTTCCTTTGTCCAGAAGCTTCTTTAGTACTGGCAGGAAGCTGAAACAAAAGTGCTTTGTCTCAGCCCCCTTGGCTTCCAGCTTTGGGAAGCTAGCATGCGGTTTTTTTGGATCCACCACCATGCTGAGCTTGAGGTTGGTGAGTCTCACAGGGGCACCAGCTTCCTTGTACTCTTTTTGTATTTCTTGGAAAAGGACCCCTAGCCTTTCACTGGGGGACTTATTCTGTTTTCCTTTTCCTTCCCAATAAACCAAAATGTGGATCAGGGATCCAAGGAGGTGTGAGCAAACACCCTTACAAAACAATATGTGGAGCATGTCCCCCCTCACCATCCTGCTGGTCACCCCTGGGACTTGGAATATGAGGTGGGGTGGGCCTTTTGCCAAGGCTGCTTTGGTGTCGACATCTACATACTTCTGGTCTTTTTCCTCCAACAGCTTGATGGACTTGCCTTCTGGCATTTTGGAAGCCCCCTTTTTCCTTGTGGGATTCATTGCATCGCATTCCCAGCATGGGCTTTGGTTCTGCCAGTGTGGTAAGCCAAGGACATTTGAATAGAACTCATGATCTCCTTGGATGTTCCAAATGGTGCATCTAAACAAATTGTGATGCAATGGCTCCCCCTTCATCTTTTCAAACACACTCCCTTTTGGCAAGGGATACCCATCAGGGCCAACCTCTGGGTGGTAGCCAGATAGCAGTGCTTGGAAACTCCACTTGAGCCACACCTGCAGGGAATCCCATGTCTTGGAGCTTGTTGCTGCCTTAGGGTAGCAGGCCAAGAGCATGTGGGAATGGAGTGTTGGTAAAGAATTCAACAGACCACCCCAGCTCCAGATCATGAGAGAATCTCTTGTCTCATACTCTGCTGCATCCCCATGGCAGAAAATTGGGATTGTTCTTGATTTGTCTTGAACATACCTTTTGTCAAGGTAATCCTCCTGGACAAAGGTGTCAAGGTTTGGCCTTTTGTCAAGGCAAATCCAATGCCCATGCAGTCTCTCATCTCCACATTTTTCTACATTGGCCCAGAAACTTTCCAACTCCTGGGTGCCAAACATCGCCTGGAAGTGTTCAGGGTGGTTTTCACCCAGCTGCCAAAACATCAAGTGAGGTAGAAGCAGTGATGCATCTGCATGTGTTTCTTTGCCAGTCTTTGGGTCCAAGCATGGGACTTGAATGTCCCAAGAATCACAGAGAGTCAGCTTGGGGCAAAAATATGCCATGATGTCTCTGTGACAGGACCCTTTGTGAGTACCCCAGTTGCCACTTTTGCCAAGGGCAATGAGCTCCTCATGCTCTGCTCCATCTAATATGGCTCCATGGGCTAAGTCTTGTACAGCTGATGCTGACAAGCCCCCATGTGCCCAAAGATTAAGTAGCTTGTCAGCTAAAGCTGAAGGCTGAACATCCCCTTTTGCCAAGGGGTTCCCCTTGTCTTTTTCCATTTCCAGCTGGTGGCCCCTCAGCCTTTTGGCTCTTTTCTCCATAGCCAATCCCTTTTGGCAAGGGCTCTTTTGTCAACATGTGCCACTTTAATCTTTTGTCAAGATTGAAAGACCTTGAGCCAAACCATGCAACAACACAGACTCAAACAAGCAACACCCCCAAACCCCCTTAGACACTTTTAGAAACTTTTAAGAAACTTGCCAGAACCTTTCTAACCTTTCACCTCAGCCTTGCCAAAAGGTTACACTAGCAGCCAGCAGCAACACATTTTTCATGGGGCAAAGTGTTCACCATCAGGTGGGCCCTCATGGCAAGAGCAATGTTTAAAAAGAAATTCAAATCCTTTTGGCAAGGGGCCAGAGCACAACAAAGCTGTACAAGAGCCTTTTGGCAAGGGCTCTTTGTGCTTGGCAAGCTCTACAAAAACCAGACCCTTTTGGCAAAGGTCTTTTGATATCTTCATTGGGCTGGCTTTCCTTTTGTCAAGGAATCAAGGCCCCTTGGGGCTTCCAGGCATCCTTTTGTCAAGGTATTGCATTTTTAGGTCATTTTGCTTTGCTGGAGGCTTTGGTTGCAGCCTTATTGGCTATGTGGTCCAGCTCTTTCTTCTCATCCTTGAGCTCTTTGGCCTTAGCAGTGCACTCTAGCATCATTTCCTTGGCATCAGACACAGTCATGGTCTTGCTTCTTTTGACAAGAAGAGCCTTCAACTTTGCCACATTGCTGGAGCCTTCCTTCAGCAAGTTTTCTACCTCTTTCTTCTGCTTGTTGCCAAGCCTCCCACTTGCTTTTGCTTTTGTCAAGCTCTCCTCCAAGTTGCTGTTTGTTTGCTGGCATAAACCCCTACATTTTCGCATTTTGGCCAAGCATTCACCCCAATCATCTTCCTCTTCTTCATTCTCATCATCATCATCATCAACCTTGCCATCCTCAATGGCAAGCTGTCTTTGGCCTTGGCCTCTTCCCTTCCCTTTGCCTTTTGTCAAGGCTTTGCCTTTGGAGCCACCCTTACCCAGCAAGCTGGCCTCAAAGTCAGCCAGTTGGCTCTGTTGCTCCTTCCCCTCCCATTCTTGGAAGGTTTCCATCAGCTCATCATCAGCTTCCATCTCTTTGGCCAGGGAGGCCTCATGGCCCCTTGCCACTTCCCATTTCTTCTTCACATTGCCCTGGTCATAGTAATTGTAGACCCCATATGACCAGGGATCTGATCGCCATTTTATTCTCCCTGATGCAATGTGTGTCTCAAATTCTGTTTTGTCAAATTTGTCCAGCATTTGTTTTTCACTTTCCCATACTTCACCTTTTGTCAAGGTGCTGGATGCTGACACAGTTTTTTTTACTTGCAGAAAACTGGGCTGCTCTTTTTTCAAGAGGTAGATAGCTGCAGCCAATCCTTTTTCTGTTTTGTTCATCTTGCTGACTTCTTTGGCTTCCTTTGGGTTGCCCTTGAGGTGTGTCTGATGTTTTCCCCATGCACTTTGTTTTTCTTGCTCTGTCATGTTCTTTCTGAGCTCAGCAGCTGCTTCCTCAGGTGTTTCAGCATTTTCACATGCTGCTGCCACTTTTTGTTTAAGGGTCATGGACCCAAGATTCTCCAGCCTTTCTTTGGATAGCTTTGCCTTTTTGGCTTTGGACAATGCCTTTGCCCTTTGTGCCTTCCCTTTTGGCAAGGGCTTTGTTTTGGCACTGGCTTTGGCACCAGCTTTGGGCTTTCCTTTTGTCAAGGTGACTTTTGCCAAGCCAGTGCCCTTCTTCACCTTCACCTTTGCCTTTGCTTTTGCCTTTTGGCAAGGCTTCCCCATGCCAAAAGAATCACAACAATTTTTTTTGATAGGCTTGGAAAAGCTGCAGACATGAGTTCCAATCCTTGACAAAAGGAAAAACAAATAAGTGGGTGATGGGGATAATTATTTTAAGTGGAAACCATTGAACCCTGTGTAGAATGATTCATGTTTGGATAGGGAAGCATTACCATTTAAGCCTGGTATACCTTTAGATTCAAGAATGAAACCAAGAGAAATTGTCCAAACATTGAAATATCCGATTTTTTGGAAAATAATGAAACCTGATGAAATCTGATGAAATTTGATGGTTTCATCAGATTTCATCAGATTTCATCAGATTTCATCAGAATTCATCAGATTTCATCAGATTTCATCAGGTTTCATTTTTCCACAATTTTTTGAAATCTTCCTGGATTGGAAATATTTCCCATGGATACCCCATATATTTGCCTTTTGCCAAGGCATTTTGAGCCCATAAAACTTGTGTGGAATGATACCCAAAGAAGACACCCAACCACATTTTAATACAATTCTTGGGAATAAGTTTAAACCCAAAATTATCACTGTTTTTTTTGGGGGGTACCATAAATTTAAATTTACCAGAAACCAATCCCACAAAACAACTCATTAGTGGAAAACCATGTTTGTTTCACATGTTTGTTTCACACCTCACCCAACCCCCTTACCATCATTGTATTTCTTTTTGGCAAGAGTCTTGAAGTACTCTTGTCTGGAACCTTTTGTCAAGGCCCCTTGCTGCATTCTACAGACCACAGCCTGTGGGAAACAAAGCAACAAATTTGAAAATACCAAGCTTTGGTTTTCTCTTATGAAGGTCTAGAAACATTGGTAAAAATAATCAACAAAGGCTGTGGTCTGTGTTTCAAAAACCCTCAGGCATTTTGCCTGGAGAAACATTGAAAAAAGACAGCAACTGTACACACCTTTTTGTCAAAGGGCTTGGAATGCTGCCTTTTATACCACCTGGCCCAAAAAGAGATCACCTTTTGTCAAGGCTTTGCATGGCTGGCCATTGGTGGTGCCTTTTGTCAAGGGCTTGCAGGAGTGGTGAGTGAAGATGCCTTTTGTCAAGGGCTTGCATGGCTGGTCAGTCAGGGTGCCTTTTGTCAAGGCCTTGCAAGGGAGTGCCATTTTTTTGCCTTTTGTCAAGGTCTTGGTGCCATAGCTACCTTTTGCAAGGCAGTTCATCCTCTTTCAGGATCTCTTGCACTGCAGTGGCAAAGTCTGCATACCAGCTTTTCACCTTCCACTTGCCACTGTTTCTTTTCAGAGTCTGATCCAGCACTGGGTACACTCTGATTCCATCATTTTGGCACTCCCTGTTGATTTCCAGGTTGTCATCTATGATCTTGGTGATGCCATTGTCCAAGCACCATTTTGACTTTCCCTGGGGGCCAGTTCTTTCCCAGGTGAAACTCACACTGGCCCACCCTGACCATTCTTGCCATGCCCACTCCTTCACTAGCTGGCTTCTTTTCCACCCACAGAAAGACAGCAGGTGGACTTCATAGCCATTGCTCACCAGCTGGTCAAGCCACCAGTTGTTGTAGTGGTTGTAGGTGACCTGCTTGCCATAGCCAGTGACCAGCACCCCATGCCAGTCCACTGCGATTTTCTTGTTGTTCCTCATTTCCAGGGTTGGCTGGACTGGCTCTTCATTTTTCCCTTTCTTCTGGGGTGGTGGTGCTGGGCTTGAGCTGGAGCTTGAGCTGGTGGAGGAAGGCTCTTCACTGCTCCTCCTGCCCCAGTCTGCTGAGTGGGGGCTCATGGGGCTGGGGGTTGCCTGTTTTGGCTTCCATTGCTGGGTCCCTTTTGTCAAGGGCTTTTCCTCCTGGGTGTTTGTCTCTTTTGCCAAGAGCTTGTCCTTGTAGGAGGGCTTGTCCTTCTTGGCCTCTTCCTCACTGATGGCCTCTTTGCCTTTTGTCAATGTCTTTTCCTCCTGGTGGTTTCCTTTCCCTTTTGGCAAGGGCTTTTCCTCCTTGGTGTTCCCTTTCCCTTTTGCCAAGGGCTTTTCATCTTTTTTGCCCCCTTTGCTTTTGGGCAGGGCCTTGTCATCAGTGTCTTTGGCTGTGCCTTTTGCCAAGGTCTTGCTATTTGTGCCTTGGGCCTTTTCAGCCTCCTCCTGTGCAGCTGATGGCCCAAATTCCTTTTTGGAAGCTGCTGCCTTTTGGCAAGGCTGCTCTGGCACTGGCTGGCTGTCTCCAGCCTTCTTTTTCTTTTCTTCTTCTTCATATTTTCTCTTTTTCTCTTCTTGCTCAGCAATGGATTTCTCTTTTTTTGCCATCTTCTCTGCCTTGAGTGCCATTGCATCTTGATCCCCTTCAGCAGCAAGCCTATCTCTCTCTCTGGCTGCTGCCCTGATCCTATCCCTCCTCCTTTGTGTGGTGGTACCACTGCCAGCAGGTCTGCCAGCTTTGTTGTACCCTTCCACCTTTCCCCTTTTGTGGTCCATGGCTTTTGCCAAGCCAGGCTTCAACCTGGCTTTTGTCAAGCCACAGCTTGGGGGGCAGGAGGGCTTTTGTCAAGCCCAGGGCCTGGGCTTTTGGCAAGCCTTTCTAGCTTTCAGATTTTGCTGATTTGAAAACAGCTATGATTTGAGCCAAAAGCCATGCACCAACAACATGCAACAACCATGGGGAACCAAAAGCCATGCACCAACAACATGCAAAAACCATGGGGCCCAAAAATCCCAAAATGGTGTCGTGTAATTATCCCAGAAACTTGGGGGGTCTAGTTTAACATGTTAAAGACAAACAAATAACAAATATTCTATCCCAAAACCAAACCCACAGCCACTTCCCAACAACCCTTCCACCCCAAAACATGTTTTCAACCAGCAGTGCCCACCCCTTTTGTCAAGGAGGAGCAAGTCTAGAAGGCCTGGCTTTCAAGGCCTTGCTTAAAAACATGCCAATCCTGTCTGTACCTGGAAAGGCTTCTTCCAAAAAAAGCAAGTACCTTTTGTCAAGGCACCTTGTTGGAAGCATTTTGGCAATGCTCCTGCAAAAACAGTGTTTGGCTTTGGCCCCCTTTTGCCAAGGGGGAATTGTTTTTTTCCTTCCTGCTTTTGTCAAGCACATTTTGACAGCTGTCAGCAAAGCTCATCCCTGAGAGCCAATGCCTGTTGCTTTGTCAAATGCTTTTCCTGCAGTTTCCTCAGGATATGGTTTGCAACCTGTCTGTGTTCTGGGCTCCTCTTTGAAGAAACTTCCACTATGAGTATGCATTTGCCACTCTTTTCATAGGTTCCTGTGATGTAAGTCCTTGTCGCAGGCTTCAGTGCATTGGTAATCCTTAACTTTTGCCAGGGCCTCTTGGAAGAGCTGGGGCCCTTTGGGCAAGGGCTGATGTGAGCAGCTGGTTTTTGTTTCAATCCCACAGCTGCTTTCTTTTTCATTGCCACTGGCTTCTTTGCAGACTTCTTTTTGCAGTTCTTTTTTCTTTTATCTTTCACCTCCTTGATGCCCATGGCTTCTTTCAATTCACTTTGCCCTCTCTCCACTTCCTGCTTTTGGCAAGCAGCTTTTTGGCCAATCTTTCTTCTTAAGAAAGTTGGTGGTGCCTTTGGCTTTGCTTGCCCTTTTGGCAAGGGCTTTTCATCTTCAATTGCCAGTTGCCTTTTGTTGGGTGATTTCAAACAGGCTGGGTATCCATTGGAATCCATGGACACATCACTGATTTGTTTCTTGAGACTCCTTTTGTCAAGGTTTTGCTCCTTCCTTTTGTCAAGGTTTTGCTCCTCAGCTTGGGGCTTGCTCTCTACTGAATCCAGCATTTTTTTGAGCAGCACAAACTCTGCTGAAGTCAGCTTGGCTGCATAGCTACTCAAATCATCTTGGTTCTTCAATTTCCTCAGGTGAAAAAGAAGAGTCCCCAGCCTCTCACATTTGATATTTGCCCAGACCCCACAGTTCCACTTGGTATCATTTAAGCTGGGGTCCTCTTGCACACATTCCAGCAGAGCTTGTCTTAGAGGCTGGGTGTGAATCTCAGCACTGCTGCTGAGCTCAACCAAATCACAAAGCAAAGAGTAGCAATGCATGATCCCTTTTGGTGACACACTTTGGTTTCTGCTTGTTGTGTTGTATGCCCCAAGGTTCCTAATGAGGCTGTCATTGCGTTGCAAAACTTGCATGAGTGCCATGGTATCCACCAATGGCTTTGGGGTGTGTCTTGCCCCACCCTTTGTTGCCATAGTTTTTTGTCAAAGCCACTTGGCCTTTTGTCAAAGCCACTTGGCCTTTTGTCAAAGCCACTTGGCCTTTTGTCAAAGCCACTTGGCCTTTTGTCAAAGCCAATCCCTTTTGCCAAGGGTACTGGCAAGCCAGCTATCCCTTTTGGCAAGGAAAATGCAATGGGTGTAGGTTTGAAGCTGCTGAGCCAGTTGGCAGCAAAAATACACCTACAACATGGAATCATGACCCTCCAAATCAATAAGAGGATCAATAGCAGAATCAATAAAGAAATCAATAAGGAAATCAATAAGCACCAAAGAAATGCAAGGTTGAAAATCAAAATCAATATCAATACCTATTGATATTGAAAATATCAATATTTTCAATCAATATCAATATCAATAAAAAACCTTGTGTTTTTATTGATTAGGATCAGTATCCGATGCTCAGGGGATCTTCTCTTGCAATCCTCGACACGCTCCCGATGTTACGTCCGGAACAAAGTGAAACCTGCCTTGGGACATGAACCCAAAGACTTCCTGGTCTTGGACAAAAACAGCTCTTGGCTGTTCGAATGAGTTCACTCGCCAGGAAAAAAAGAAGCGTCCGTGTCAGCTTCTTTGAGCCGTGGATTCTTCGAATGCTCTCAAGTGCCATGTTCAGCTGAAAACACATTCAAACACACACACTTGCTCAGAAACATCATTGCGAATTTTTGTTGTGGAGTGCATCGCTCGTGCACAAACAATCCCTACAAACTGACAGGAAAGATTTGTTGACTCAACGAGAACTACAATGCGAAGTATGCTTTCTACGTCCTTGCTCTGAGGAATGTTCTGATGCAGCATTGTCAGTCATCAAAATTGTAAAATAGGCAGATTGTGGCAACTGCGCAGAAAAGAAAATTAAATTCGACTTGCCGGTTCTAGGCTTGGCCGGTTGCCATGGACGAAAATGAAAAAGATTGAGCAGGTACGTGGATTGAGCGTCCCCAATCCATATCACTGTGCAACAGATGCGTCTTCGTTGGATGGAGACATCTGAAGCACACTCCATCCCCCTGCATGAAAAAGAAATCATGAACTATAACAAAACCACTCAAGAACCGAAGAGAAGTTTTACATCTGTACAGATGGTCCACACACACGCCCCGCTGCCGCGAGGCTTTTTTCGGAGATCACTAGCGATGAAAGGCTATTATCCGTTCCCTGAAGCGGAAATGGCTTCAAAACACAGGGAAAGAAGTTGGTCAGCTGCTGAATTAGTCCTACAGCTCACAAGGCCTCATCAGAGAATGCCTCCATGCGACTGGCTTGTTCTGACAACATGCGGGTAGATTCTGCCAGATGACTGGCAAGATGAGCCAAGTCTCCCGCCGAGAAGATCTGAACCGGATGTCGTGAGAGGTCATCATCTGGATCCTCAAGACGTTCGAGTATTGCCATGTTGGCATCCCTGTCATTGTTGAGAATGTTCCAGAAGAAGGTTGCCAGTTGTTGAATCTGGACAGGTGGTGGAGTAATGTCCACATTGGCGATGATGGAGTCGGTGTCGTCCATGCCAAATTCTTGTACCGATTCTTGCACTGAGACTGGGCTTTCTGGAGCTTCGTAGTGATGGGAGTGCCAATTTCCCTCCGGGGAGAGCTCTGGAATATGAAAGTAGCGATGCCAATAGTTGGCGAGTTGGGACGATTGATCCCAAGAGTCAATCCAACCGTTTCGACCAGCACGAATGTGGCCGATGATCCCATTGAAGTAGAACTCCGGCTGCATGTTGCGATGGTTACGAAGACTGCACGCTTTAAGATAGAAGACTTTACAGACTTAGCCTAGATATAAAGAAGTTACATAATTTATGTTGGAAGTTAACATGACTTATCAAACTATGAAAAGAAGTTATGTTAACTTGGATAACTTATTTGTAAGTTTTTGGTAAGTTTCGATAACTTTTTATAACTTTTAAAGGCTTTGCAGTGTTGGTTTCAAAGTTGTTTCGGATCATGCTTAATAAAAACGTAATAATTGGCTGATTTGGGCGGCATTTTTTTTCCTCTGAGCTGTGCGAAAGGTGCTGCAGATTGTTTTCTTTTCTCTGGTTTGCTTTCTTTATGATGACTTGAGTTTGCCACAAGATGAACCATATCAAATTCAAACACGGACTACAGTATATATAGTTGGGATCGCGTTTGTGCATCTTTTTCTTGTTGATACTTATATATAAACACCATTAACTCTAACATATTGTAGTTACAATAGCTTTATATGGTCTAACTTTAAATAGTTATTATTTTTTCTTGCTGAATTTGTGGGTTTTGTGTGTCTACATTTTTTTTTTAAAGAAACCCACTTTAAAGAAGTAATTAATACGAAAACTGCAATTTCTGGCATGGTTATGTTTGTAATATCTCTGGTAAAGATTGAAAGAGCTAAAGTGAAGATTGAACGACCTATAGTTCAACGTAGCTATAATTCATATCGAATTTGAAAACCTTCAAGCAGAACCAGCTGTAGTTCAATCTAGCTTAGCTATAGTTTAATCATTTTAAGGAAATATTTTTTTTTTTACTTTGGCCATAGTTCCTGTATAGTTCCTGCATAGTTCCTGCATAGTTCCTGCATAGTTCCTTCATAGTTCCTGCAAAGTTACTGCATAGTTCCTGCATAGTTCCTGCGTAGTTCCTGCATAGTTCCTGCATAGTTCCTGCATAGTTCCTGCATAGTTCCTGCAAAGTTCCTGCATAGTTCCTGCATAGTTCCTGCATAGTTCCTCCATAGTTCCTGCATAGTTCCTGCATAGTTCCTGCATAGTTCCTGCATAGTTCCTGCATACTTCCTGCATAGTTCCTGCATAGTCCCTGCATAGTTCCTGCATAGTTCCTGCATAGTTCCTGCATAGTCCCTGCATAGTTCCTGCATAGTTCCTGCATAGTTCCTGCATAGTTCCTGTATAGTTCCTGCGTAGTTCCTGCAAAAGTTCCTGCATAGTTCCTGCCTAGATTTTGAAGTTGTGCTTCTGGGGTTTTGAGCTCTATGTGTGCAATTTTTAATGTGGATAAGTTTTTTGTATCTTATAAAATTTGTTTTTTGTAGGGAAATAAATATTTTGATAATAGTTTCTGTACTGCTGGGGGGCTGTACCTAGCCAGAAGGTAGCTACATCAAGAGGAGAGAATCTCTCCATCCAAATTTCGGCCGTGATATTATTTCAATAAAACTCTATATATATCTTGACCCGGACTATGGCTGAACCATTGCAAATTTAAACTTGCGTTATG